CCCTGAACTGTATTTGCTTTGCTTCCTCTGGTAGATTTTTCTCCTGGAACTCCCCTATCTCATCCCACGAGGGTGTGGCCACATCTTTTTCACTTAGCTCTGTGTCAGTCTGGTTCCTCAGCTTGTTTCAGAATGACTGATCAAAATGCATACGGTGTTAACTGTAAAATTTTTGCTGCTCTGGTCTCCTTCTCTGTTTCCACCATCTGTAAACTGCTACATCCCAAAGATTTAATTTCCCCTTAAGGGAATGTCAGGAGGATTTTTATACCTCTTATCTTGTAAGCAATTATATTTGGAGTACAGTTTATAGCCTTACAGTCTTAAAATATTGACATGCTTCTATCACCTTCATGGAAAAATGAGTGAGGAGTAAGTGATAAAAAAAAGATCAGCCTTGGAGAAAAAATTTCATTTTTGCTTGCTGTTAAACCCTACAAAAGATATACAAGATGATTTACTCTATAAAAAAGTTCAGTGGGTCACATTCTACTTCTTCGAAGAGAATATGAGGGGTTTTACCTCATCCCTAAATAGGGACAATTTATACTAATATTGTTTTACATGAGGTTCCTACTGGGGGTAGAAAACACTACAGACATGATGATCAGAAATGCCCCACGACTAAAATAAACTACTCATTGCTGTGTTTAATTTGGTAAATGTATTTCTGCCTCAAAATGTTATTCTAGACTGTTCATCTGAAGGAGCTTTTATAGCCGTCCCAGTAAGTGTTCAGGAGAATGCAACTATGCTGGCGACTGTTCCTGCTTTGGGATTCCAATTTTAAGTTAAAAATCATTTAAGGCCATCTATCTTTGGAGCAAGAAAACCTTTTACTTAAAACCCCATTCTTCATTTTCAGGTTTATGCTTTATGGAGAGGACATGCTAAAGAATACAAAGGTTCAAAGAAGAAAGGCCTTTCCACATGTGAGGTATGACTGTAGCTTTAAGAAGTCTTCACATCACATACTTGGAGTCTGGGCCAGATATTAGATAACGGATGTTAGCAAATACTTGTGTCCAATTAGAACGGTGCTTGCATCATTACATAGTCAGTAAGAATGCAGCCTGTTGCAAAGCGTCTCTGGGAACACAAAGACTCCTATTCTTTCCGGCCAGAACGGCCCCACTTGCCAGGATGTCTGTATCTACATTCCACAGTGAAGCCTGTAGAAACCATTAATACCTTTCAGCCAAGGGGACAGATGGCTCCTTTTCACCCTTATGAAGTCACAAAATAGTTGTGCATAGGGATACTGCTATCTAACCTTAGGGCCACAGTAGAACTTGCAGCGAAGCAAAGAAAAGAAACTTGCTGGCTTAAGTCCAGTTAAACTAAGTTTCTTATCCTCCAATACATTTTTACATTTGAAACTGCAGGGCAGAATTTCACTTTTGGGGGCCTTGTAAAAGGTAGCCAACTTGACTTTGGCAAACCGCCATCTAAATCAAACTGTAACTGTTCGAGATCAGAATATCAACGTGTTGCAAAAATGAAACGGAAAAAATGATTTGTTTGGAAAAAAATCTTGAAACAAAGTAAAAAGTTAAAGACTTCCCCTTTATGTCCTAGAGAACGGGTTTTTGTCCGGAGCAGCTCCGAACTGCGGTCTTTCTGCCACTAGGGGGCTTGGAGCGCAGACGTGAAGTTTGGCACGATTTATACTTGGGTTAAAGCAACTTTTAGAACTGCCCGTGGGGCGCGTGGGTGGGTGGCGTCCGGTGGCTGCGAGGGGGAACAGAATCTACAAACCTGTCTGAAAGACTGCAGGGTGCTCTCGGCTTCCTCCCTCTGAAGCATCTCCTCCTGCAACCTGAAACAGGCGCGCGTTAACCACAGGGGCACGGGGAAACCGCCAGGGGCGGGGCGACCACACCCAAACACCCCGCCGTGGCCGCCAGACCAGCGCTGCTGCGCCACCTCCGCGGGCAGCCAGCGACCGCGGCTTTTAGGGCTGATGCCCTCGGCTAGTTTGAGCGGGGCCTTGGCCACCGCGTGGAAAGGCAATCACCACGACCTGCGAGACGACCGCCACCACCCCACCCCGGAGGAGACTCTGCAGTCCCTTTGTCTCGCTCCCTGCACGGCCCCGTGGCTGGCAGCCCGCCGTGGGAGGGGTGGGAAGGGGGGGCAGGAAACTTTCTCAAAGTTTGGGGAAGTCGCACGCATCGTTTGCAAGGAGCTTCGAGGACAGACAGAGCGGTAGTTTTAAGAAATCTGAAACTTTCTGAGACAGGCGTTCTTGGGCAAATGAGTGGGGCTAGAGGGGAAACGCTAACTTGCAAGATCTGGGTTCAGGGCGGGGCCGCGCCGCAGCAGTCACAGCCCTGCTCCCCCGCTGTCCCCCGGGCAGCTGCCGCCCGGGCCACATCCCCAAGGGCGTGGCGGCTCCGCTTCCCCTCTCCTTCCCTCCCGCGGCCCCGCGTGGGCGCCTCCTTACTTCTCCCGGAGACGCATGATGTCCTCGGACAGGTTGTCGCGCTCCACCTCGACGCGGGCTTTGTCGTTGGTGAGCTGGTCCACCTGCCGGCGCAGCTCTCGCATCTCCTCCTCGTAGAGGTCCCCCAAGCGCGACTTGCCCTGGCCCTTGAGCTGCTCGAGCTCGGCCAGCAGGATCTTGTTCTGCTGCTCCAGGAAGCGCACCTTGTCGATGTAGTTGGCGAAGCGGTCGTTCAGCTCCTGCAGCTCCACCTTCTCGTTGGTGCGGGTGTTCTTGAACTCGGTGTTGATGGCGTCGGCCAGCGAGAAGTCCACCGAGTCCTGCAGCAGGCGCACGCCGGGCACGCTGCTCCGCAGGCGCATGGCCGCGGAGCGCGTGGCGTACACGCCGCCCGGGGACGAGGCGTAGAGGCTGCGGCTGGTGCCGGGGCGCAGCGCGCTGCCCAGGTTGTAGGTGCGGGTGGCCGTGGTCACGTAGCTCCGGCTGGAGCTCGGCCGGCTCGCGGTGCCGGGGCCGCCGAACATCCTGCGGTAGGAGGACGAGGACACGGACCTGCTGGACATGACTGCAGAGAGCGGCGGTGGGCTGGGCGGCTGCGGTGGCGCGGGCTAGCTCCGGGAGGAGAGGCGCGCGAGGGCGCGGTGGGTGTGGGCAAAGGGAGCGCTGCTGAGTCTCTGGCGCGGGGAGCCCGGAGCGAGAGTGGCAGAGGACGGGACCCCGCCGAGGGCGCAGATTTTATAAGCCGGTTAGGAAGCAGGGTCCCCTCCCACTGCCATCCTGGAGGCAGAGTGCTCCAACCAATGGGGAAGGCTGGGCGGGGGGTTAGGGCGGGGGCGCCCTGGAGCCTTCCTCCTCCCCCGTTCTCCGCCCTGGGGACTGGGCACAGTCTCGGTTACTTCTTGGCTGGGCTGGGGATTTCGGGGCTTTCCTGATGGTGGCCCGGGCTCTGCTCACCTCTGGGTGCTGAAAAAGGCGGGGTCGCTCAGTGTTGGGGGGACCCGCCCGGGACTGGACCGGAGGGGTCCCGGGCACCGAGCCAGAGCAGCGCGGGAGGGGCGCGCAGCAACGGGGCTGCGGTCCGCAGGGAGCGGGTGGGTGGGGAGACCCGCGGGAAGAGGGGGAGTGCGGGTTCCAGCAGATCGGAAGGCGTGGACAAAGAAACAAAGAGGGTCTGGGATTGGAGCGCGAGGTGGGAGCGCGCACAGCCCGGGACGCAGGGCTCGAGCCCCCCCGCGCAGCCTTGCGCACCGCCTGCTGCGGAAGGGGCGTCGGTCGGGCCCCATCTCTCTTCGCCCTCTAGTCTTGGAGAGTCCTCTCCGGGGACCTGACGGGCTGGGTCCGGCTTTGGGCGGCGGGAACTGCGAGGAAAGCCCGGGGGAGATGGGTGGGGTCGCTGAATCACTGGCGGCGAGTCATTGCGCCGGGCCGTCCCGCCGAGGTCGAGGGCTGCTAGCGGTTCAGGGAAACCGTTAGACGAGATTGACCCAAGTCTCCCCGGGCGCGCGCGCCCGTGCGCGCGCGCATTTGTTGGAAGTTTTACGCAACTTCGAGCTGGGCCTGCGCTTTCTTGTGTGCAGTTCGCCTGCGTGGAGACTAGGGCGCCCGTAAATTCTTAAGAACTCGCCAAAGTCTGTTGATTTTGCTCCAATGTGCAGACTTCTCTTTAGTAAGAAACTTCGGCCCGGCCCCTATAACCGCCAAACGCGGGTCTGCGGCATCACAAACGCACTCCGGGAAAGTTCTTCTTGCAAAGTTCCCTCCCACCCTTCCCTCCGGTCTCCTCTCGGCCTACCCCTGCCCCCATAAAACCACACCCGGCTTTTAATGTGATGTGGAAGTTTGGGGTGAAAGAGGAAACTCAGAGTCCGCAGTGGCAAAATCAAATTGTTCGATGGTTTTTCTGCTGTAGCGGAAGTCATTAAAGGTATAACCTGCATCAGTTATAGAATTAATTAGGTATTACTTTAAATGCTGAATTCGATGAATGAAAAGCAATTTTATACCTCAAATGATAGAATGTTTGAGGGAAGTAGATTTATGTGTTCGTTTTGGCTCCGCGATGGTGCTTACTGCAGGGTTCTGGTGACTTGTCTGGGAAATGTCACTGGTCCCTTGGCCTATTTTCCAGAAGAATTCTTGCAATTGGTCTCGGAATGAGGGAGATAAAACTTGTCTACAGAGCAAAAAACTTTTGGTCTAGGGCACCAAGGGAGTGTTCAGATTCTCACACCAAAACCTTCCAGGTAACTCACTCAACAGGGTTTTTTGTTGCGATATTAGTAACAGGCAGAGCAGTGTGGTTACCCCCAAAGGGAGATGAAGAGAGCCAATCCAAGGCAGTCTTTTAGTGATATCTGTAGCAATGTAAAAATCAGAGGTTTGTGTTTTCTTTTGTATTTACAAGACCGAAGGAGTATTGAGAGGATTAGCCCCAAAACCACTGTAAAAATAAAAGCATCTTGATTCTATAGTGAATGGGGGTGGGAGGGTAAGGGGGAAGTAAAAATTCTTCCGTTTTTGTTTTGTGTTTTGGAAGGGGGGTGCTGGAAGTTACCTGGCATTTAAGAAAAGTAGTTTAGAACCAAATGAAGGGTTTATTCCAGCTTCTTTGTACAAGCCTCTTTTAGGCAATATTTTATTTACTGCATTTCAGTTAGTTCTGGCAAATGGGGCTGCCAAGGTCGAAAACTGCAGGACCCCTTGCGGTACAGCTCCCCTGCTGTGGACTTCCTTCTCTCCTTCCCTGGGAGGCTGCGGGTCCCTCCCGAGCATTCCTGGGGTGTGGTGCCCTGGCAGACCAGCTTATGCTCCATGTTACCGTCTTGCTCTCAGAGTGCCCTTTATTCAAGCCACTGCTCAACAAATGTCACCATTGTGAATTTGCCTGGAATCCTTAGGAGGAGAAAAAGCCATCTCCCTCTGGGGGGAAGGGAGGGTGGACCTTACGCCCACCTAAAATGCTGATCCCAGGGCAACAAGCTGGTGCTGTCAGAGGACTCTTGCTGACTGACTCACTACGGAAAATGAGGGCAAGGCTCTGGTGCGGTGTGGCAGGGTGCCCTGTTGGTGACCACAGCAAGTTCCTCAGGCCTGTGGCGACTTCCTCTGGGATGGATGCTGGCCCTCATCATCATCTGGGGGTATCCCTCCTCCTTTCTAACCTGTCCCCGATCTGTATTCTCAGGACTGTGGTATGTTCACTTGCTGTCCTTCCTAGTCAGCCTAGGCTGCTATAACAAAATACCATAGACTGGAGGGCTTAAGCAACAAATGTTTATTCCTCCCAGCTCTTGAGGCAGGAAGTCCAAGATCAAGGTGCCAGCCGATTTGGTGTCTGATGAGGGTCTGCTTGCTGGTTTGCAGATGGCCACCTTCTTGCTGTGTCCGCACGTGGCAGAAGGAGTGCATGTTCTGGTCTCTTCCTTTTCTTATAAGGACACTAATCCCATCTTAGGGGCCCCACCTTCATGACCTCATCTAAATCTAATTACCTTCCTAAGACCCCACCTCTGAACAGCCGCAGATTAGGGCTGCAACATATAAATTTTAGGGGTCACAAACATTCAATCCGTAATACTTGCTATACACCACGTGCACACACGCACACACGCACACACACACACGCACACACAGACACAGTATCCAATGTGTCCTTCCTATTAGAAATTGCCATAGCTTGGGGTGGACTGTAGAGTGTAGAAAAGCGAAGGTTACAAAAACACTATTACTCATTCATATAGAATGCATGAGATTTTGGAAAGAATTCATTTCATTCTGAGGTAAATTATACACCAACCAGGACAGTGCCTCAACCAAGGAGGGCTAGTCATCGATGAAGGAAATCAATATGTCTGAACTAACATCTTTGAGCATGATAACTAATCCTTCTCTATCTGTGCCCCCATGTTCTTAGCTACCTTTTGGAAGTAAACAGTACGTAGACATAGCTTTTTCGGTTTTCATATTTATTTTTTGATTGATGTGAAAACCTATTTCCAGAGTGTTTTCGAACGCTGGACCCTGAAGCATCTTCAAGCACTGCCTGCTGCAAGTTGTATATAAATAAGGACACAGTGGTACAGTGTGTAGGCCAGGCGTAAACATTACCAAATCTAAAGTACTAACAGTGATTTTGGAATTTGCAAGCTGTGGTGATGTCAGTTAAATCAGGCGATTTGAACTGACGGACCAGCCAGCCATGCGGAGAGGAGCTTAGTGGCCTGTGGAGGCTTTAGGAGAGCTGGTTGGCAGGAGGTCATGCCAAGAGGACAGCTTCTAGCTGGATCGCCTGGACGGAATGTCAGCAATGAGAAGGTGGATAAAGTGAGAGGGTGAAAATCATGGCAGAATCTAAAGGGCATAGTATTAAAGATAATAATAATAATCAATAATAGAAGTGCTTTAACTTCTGTGTCTGCTGGAGGACAGGAAACGTGTATGTGTTTAGTTTAACCTAATGCTCTCCTAGCATCCTGTGGGATAGACGAGATCATCCATTTTAAACACTAGGCAACTAAGAAGCAGGCCAAAAATCTGCCCACGGTCATATAAGTAGCAGTGGAGGCAGGAAGGGTCGAAGCCTTTGAATGGAGCCCTTTCTGATTCCAAATGCACGTTTCTTTTCTCTTTGTCTTGATAAAGTTTTGCTTGCTATTAGTTTAATTCACAAATGTCATTTAGGGGCATACCGTGTTTCAGGAGCTGCAGAGGGAGGATAACTACCCGATGGTGTTGTGAAGGAGCAGATTCCTAAAGGAATTTGGGGGTAGAATATCATGTTTTATGTTATTCAAATGATGGAACAGTGTGATTCATAATAGATAAGAAGGGAGTTTGGTTTTTACCTGACTCTAAATCCTTACTTCGAGAGTGAAATATTTTCACCTGGACTCCTTTCTGTCTCTTGAAAGGCGTTATATCCAAGGTTGGACTTAGCTCATCTCACACCCTAAACCCCACCAACCACAGGAGCTTCCCCTTCAGAACTCCCCTGTCTATTTAAGGCAACATAGCAAACTAACAAGATTGGAAACTTTCATCATCCTTGCCACCTCCTTACCCTTCGATGGCTCAGATCCCATGTGTGTCTTGTCCGTTGCTTTCTGCACACACTCCCCTGTTATGTTGCTGTGACTCACATCCAAGCCATTTTTTACCTCATCCCAGCAGTACTGCAATTGGCCTCCCTTCTTCCAGGCTCTGCTTACCCCCACCAGTGTGTCTGACTTTGAACCAAAACCTCTTTTTCTTAACAACTGCATGCTTGAGACTCCCTAAAGATCCAAAGTGAATCACTCATTCCCTTGTGAGAAGGTTAAGTTCCAGGAGGGTAGAGACTTTTCTCTCTTTTGTTCACTGGCCTATCTCCAGTGCCTACAGAGAAGCCTGGCGCATTTGTTGAATGTATGAATTAGTGCATTTGCAGTTCATAAAGGGAGGGAGGGAAGAAAGAGGAGACTAATATTTACTAGTGTCTATTATGTTCAAGCAGTGTGCTAGTCATTTTAAACATGACGTCCTCTAATCTTTAAAGGGTATTATGATCCACAGCTTTTACTAACTGACTCAAAACACATGTATTGAATATTTACCATGTTCCAGGCATCCTGCTAGACAGCAGGGAACGTGAACAAGGCAGGTATAATCCATGTGCTCTTGGGGCGTAGAGCTGAGTCCATGTGTACGTATGTGTGGTACAGAGAGACAATACTTAAGTAAAGGAACAGACCAAAGAATTAGTTAGTACAATTACAATTAGAAATTTTGCTTCAGCGGAAGTTGAGGCTCACAGTTTGACAGTGGCCTTTGAAAGCTAGGCTAAGGATGTTCCCATCCATCCTGAGTTCCCACTGCTCCCACCAAGACAGCAATTTCAGTGGGGCCCTAAGTTGTTTTCTATTCCATGAATACACCACATTTCCCCCACCCTCACGTCTTTCCTCACATTCCGTTCATCAGGCAGGGGAACTCGTTTTCTGCACTGCCTGCAACACTTCTTAGTATACTCAGGTAAGTTAAGAAACTTTTCATGCCTCTGGGGAGCTCACAGCCTTGAAAAAATTAGGAACCACATAAAAGAGCTGTGATACATAGCAGAGTCTGGTGAATGAGTGCGCTGAAGGGTTTAGATGGAGAAATGATCATGTCCATTTGGGGGAGATCAGAAAATGTATGCAGAGAAGGTGGTATTTGAGCAATGAGTATGATTTCTACAGCTTGTCCTAGAGAAACGATGCTCAAAGTTGATGAAACAGTATAAGCAAAAATTGCGTATGTGTCCGACTTCTAGGGACATGTAGGTAATAGTAAGAATCCCAGTGTGGCTGATTATGGAACAGTTGTAGGGGAGAAAGGGAATGGAAAGCTAATATGGGATCATGCGTTGGAGGACTAAATGCCAAGGAGAGGAGTTTATAATTAATGTGGTGGGCAGTGGGAATTCACTGTGATTTTTGACTAGGAGAAAGACATGCTTGTGGCCATGTTTCAGGAAGATTGTTCTGGCCTGTTGTGGAGGATGAATTGGGGAGACCCATCTGAGAGCTGTTTGCAGTAGATCATGTGAATGGTAAAAGCCTGATCTTTCGGGAGTCTTAAGCATGCAGTTATTAAGAAAAAGAGGTTTTGATTCAAAGTCAGACACACTGGTGGGCGTAAGCCAAGCCTGAAGTTGGAGAGGGGAGGAACAAGTCGAGGGCTCTGAGCTTCCCGGACAGACTAAGAGAATGGAATCCTCAGAGATGGAAAACAGTTGTTTCTAGGTGGAAAATTAATCTGAGATGAAAGATAATTCACTCAGATCCATTTACCTGGAAGTATCGTCCCTCCTCTAGTCTATATAGAGCAAAACCTCATGAAGAAGGTGGGGTATAAACCCAAGGGGTCATGCAGTTTTACTCCCTACAGCATTCTAGTCTGTTCACATAAATTAGTATGGATTGCTTTAGATTGTTCCATATGCGATTTGCAGGTGTTGGTCTGGTTTTCCCCAGTTGGTGCAAAATCAGGGGCTTTTTCAGTATCCTCTAAAACAGTTTTGAAAAGTTCAGAGACACGGAACACTTACATGCCCATCATTTTTGTGTCTCAAAAAAAAAAATTCACATCTGCTTCAACAATATTATGGAATTTGAGCTTAATATAGATTAAATATACTTTTTTCATATCACAAATTATGAAAATTTGTTCTGAAACAATATTGTAATGTATTCATCTGTCATCTCTAGAACTTTAGATGAGCATGTATATAATTTATCTTTTCATCAAAGTCTAAGGTACTGTCTCTGACTAAGGAAAGAGAAGGTGGTGAAGATGTAGGAGGAACAGGGAATATTAATTAATATACTGAGGGAAAAACCTAGTGCAAAAAAAAAACCAGTTCGAGTCCATGTTAGACAAAGACGTGAAGCTACATTGTCATTACTGGTTCACTAGATCCAAAAAGCAAGACAAAAGCAGTCCAGTTATAAAAACCAGACCTTATTTGAAAGAGAGCTAAGTGATACCGTCACAGTTCAGTTACTAGCCTAGTGAGACCTTAAGAAAACAAGCAGGTTTTGCCCTGTGTCCTATAATGTTGTTTTTACAATTTTCAGGATAGAGAAGAAAGTCATGCCAGTGCCAGAAAATTTGCCAAGTGCTTTGGCATCCTGGGAATTTATTCAGCTTATTTTGAGGAGGTCATCAAGTTCCCAAGGGGCAGACTTTTTTTTTTTTCCAGAAGATATTTTGGTAATGGGTCTAATTATAATAACTTTGTTTAATAGCATACTTTTCTTTGAAAGAACTGAAGAATTTTTAAAAAATAATACTTGGTTTCTTTATGGTAACCTGTGAAGTTGGGAAAAGGATATTGATTATCTTATAGCCATAATCTCTTTTCTTTATATTTGGGAAAAATAAAGGAACTCCATCCCACTTACCTCAAAATTGACTAATGAATTGACCAATCTTTCCAAAAGTCTGGAGAAGCTTTAGCTCTGCTGTATCACATTCATTTAGCCAGTGAAATGATGTTCTTCAGAATCTTGAATATTAATTTTAATTTTGACTGTATTTGATAAACTCAGAGTTGAAAATATACCCCATCAAACTTTGGTCTTTGTGTATATGCTGACAAAGATCAAGGTGATTTGTAGGGGTTAGAGATGGAAATCAAAAACATGCTGAGGGAAAAAAAGTCCAATACAAAAGATGTGAAACTATGTTCTCCTAATTACAAAAAAAAAGACAAAGTGTTAGAAAAAAAAGTGAACTTATAAATCAGAGTAACCCTAAATGGAGCCATGTGGCAAACGAAAGGACCTATAAAATGGCATGGGGATAAAACTAAGCAAGGCAAAAGGATTAAGAAATTTCATTGGAATGAGAAGTAAGTTAAGAAAGACCATTCTGAGTTAACTGTAGCAGAATAAAGGGATTGGCAGCCCTCTCCGTAATTCTGCTGCAATGGTTCCTAAAATATTGAGTAAGGCTTTGTGATTCTAATTAGCTAAGTACTAGAAACATGCCTTCTAATGGGACTCATATGGCTATATGGAATAACTGCAAAAATATGGGGTTTGAGCTTAATATAGATTAAATATACTTTTCATATCATAAATTATGAAAAACTGTTCTAAACAAGATTGTAATTTATTTATCGGTCATCTAGAGAGCTTCGGGGGTTGGACATGTGTGCACAGAATATAGTGCAGTGCTATTTGCATGTCCAATCAGGGTTTTCCTTGTGCTGACTTTGGGTTGGTTTTCACAGTCCTTGATTAGTGAACTCTAAACAATGATAATGATAACCAGGCATAACTTTGATGTTGTTCCTTAAATTAGAGTGTGGCCCAGATAGGAAAGCTAATGGTAATCATGATGATAGCCTATGTATATTGAGTGCCTGCTGTTTGCCATGTGTTAACTTATTTAATCCTCACAACAACCCTACTAGACATATGAAGAAACTGAGGTACAGAGCAGCTAAGTAACTTGCTCAGGCTCACACAGCCAGGAAGTGGCAGACCTGGGATTTGAACCCAGGACTTCTGGCTGTAGGTCCCACACTCCAAACTCCACTGTAGTGCGGTATTTCCCACGCTGTGGTATTTTTTGTACTGCTGCTGGTGACATCCCCAGCTTTCTGGAATTCTAACCATGGTGTCTTGTCTATCTCTTTGGACTTTTTTTCCCCCCTGTTCTGATACAGCCACAAGACCCCTTATGATTCAGAGAATATGGTGCCCTTAATGAATCATCAAGACGTCGATGGGCATTTTGGGGCTTTTCTGTGGAGATCTCATTTCTTAATTCTGACTCAGCCCATCAGAATGATTTGATGGTTATGACATATCATCCCTGCATGCAATTAAATGAATAACAATCCTTTACCCACACTTGCTAGTGGAAAAGAAAGAAACTGACCACATTTTTGGAACACATTGCCTCTATAAGTAAGAGCAACTTCTCCCCGTACTTACTCTCTATGAGTTTGAATTTTAGAGAGATTTGTTAACATCTGGAATACTAATATTACATAGTCCAAGAATAATGAGAGATGTATGGTTTAGTGAACGTGTGAGTGAGTGAGTGTGGTTTAGAAATGAGAGGTTTAGTGAGCTATCCGACCACCAAGATTCTTGAGGCCAAACTCAAGCAATGTTACTGATAACACATATGACCTTACTACCCAGTTTTAAACATTTCTTGCCCAATACTAATCTCATTGCCGTTTCATCTCAGATTTTTCCAAGAAATGCTCCCTTGTCCCAGCTCTCTGTTAAAAAAGAGCATTGGTAAAGTGCTTCATATGAGCACAAGGGCAAGAGCAACCAATATCACAGCCCCGTTGTAGATAGATGGGGAAAAGGATGCATGAAGACATAACAGCCTGATGAAATCCCAACTCAGCAGCAGTGCTGTTACTTAATAGATTGGAATATTCTTAAGAGAAGCAGTGACCCTGTTCAGTCAATGCATTTTGAGTCCTCCTGGGGGCCAGGCTCTCTTCTGGGCTCTGAGGACCCAGAATTGAATAAAGCACCTTCCTGGCCCTCAGAGGGCCCCTAACTGACTCATCTCTTCTCTGTTAAATCCTTTTGTCTCTAAGTCTTGCATAATCATGCTGTCACACTGAGATCTAGTTCAGTAGTTTCATGATGTCCCCCTCAAGTCAGAGTGAAATAAGAGCGACTCTTCCTCTGAAATCCATGGAAACGTTGAGTTTGCTGTTTTGTTCTCCTCGATAAAATAGAGCATAATAACTAGTTGCTGGGTTACTACAGAAAACTCAGGCCCCAAACGGCAGCCGGGAAGAGCAGTTAGCAATTAAGTAAAGGAAATGATTAGTGGGTTTGAAACCCAACCCACTGCCCATGTACTTCTTAGCAGAATCAGGCATCTAGGTTACTTAGGCAACTTTTATCACTAAGGAAGTAGTTTTGGTGACTCATGCTCAAACAGGATAATTTCTTTCCAAATCTGTGTATTCAGTGACCTTACCATCATCCTTATGTTTTTCCTTCTCTTAGCACTGGGACATAAAGACTACATTTGGCTGGCTTTGGTTCATCACTTATTAGTGTAATCCTTCACTGGGTGGCCCATAGTTTGAAATTTAATGGACTCATGGTGATCAGAGTGAAAGGGCAGTAGTTCCTGCAATATATTCCTATATTAAAGGTAGAACTAACAGCTTCTTTTCTAAGCAGAAATGTTGTATCTTGTAATAACAACGTTTCTTGTCCGTTTTTATTTATGGAACAGTGCTGTTTAAAATACTAGCCACACTTTTGAAAAATAAACTAAAATACTGAAGTATTTTATACCATAACATAAAATGCCTTCATTTTCCCCAAAGAGATGCAAAATGGAATGAAAATCTCCCTGAGAGCTGTCTAGAGATGATGATCACAAAAATGAAGGAAGCTGAAGAAACCTCCTTTGCCAGCTTCTCTCTTCAGATTTTTGATCTACCTGACGGATGTTCCAACAGTATCTGTTTGTGGACAGTTAACATTTTTTTTCTGTTAAAAGAATAGTAGAGATGGTGTAGAAAAAAATGAGTAATGAAAAGTGTTATAGGTTGATGATGTGTTTGGAGAATTGTATGCAAGAACTTACTATTGACAGAGAAAAACAAAACCAAACCAAATTGGAAGCCAAGTGTCTGAGATGATTCTGGGTTAGGACAGGAGCAGCCTGGCTTGGTCTCCAGGTTTTTCTGGTAGCCTCAGTGGTGACAGCTTTCAGTGTGGTCAGCCTCAGGATCACGTGAGTCGTTATTATGTTTTTTTTCTTAACCCCAGAAACCATGCCGTAAGTCAAAATTTAGACAGTTTAGCTGTTTTCATTTTGCTTTCAATCTAGTCGTTTTCTGTTTTTAATTTTGTGCCTGGAAAAACTTGAAAAAGGCCATGAGTCATGACAACTGTTTCCTTTTCCTCCAAATAGAAGCCTTAGCAGCTGAGCGGTTTTCAGTGGGGACCCTTTAAGGGAATGTTTGGGAGAAATACGTATCCGGGCGTTCTCCCAAAGTGTGGTACCCAGACCAGCAGTGGCAGCATCCCCTGGAAATCTGTTAGAAGTGCCCACTATCAGGCACCACTCCAGATGTGATTGAATCAGAGACTCTGGGGAAGGAAGTCTGTGTTTTAACAAGACATCTAGATGGTTCTGAGCAACGCTCAAGTCCGAGAACCACTGTGTTAGTGAATTGTTAGTATTTGTGGCTACTGAGAGTGTGAAAAATATAGTGGTTGGAAGGTGGGCATGTTTATGAGTCTTTGCTTGTGAGGAGATGAATCATAGAGAGAAAAGAATGCTTTAACTTTTGGAATTCAAAAAAGAAAAAGAAAGCCTGGAATCTAATTAGCAGGACTAATTGCTTGCATGAAACTTTGCTCTCTCAGAGAACAGCGATCCAGATGACTAGGTTACTGTGAAATATAGTGGCATGGTTTTGAAGTTCTAGAAGAATCTCTCTAGTGAAGAAAGGCATGTCTTTCCATATTAGGACATAAATTCAACTCAGTTTTGTAGAATCCTATAAGATTCTTGTATCCCAGTGACTTGGCCAGCTCATTTACTTCTTGAGGCCCTACTTTCTACATCTGAAAACCATATGCTTCGTTAGTTGCCATGAGTTATCTCATTGGAATGAAGTGAGGGATTCATTATATGGAAGAGGATTTGTGAGGCATCTTGATTACTGAAAAATGCAAACCATAAGGGTCAAGAGTGATTAATATAAATCTTGATGCAACTATGAGTTGATATGTCAACTTCCCTTTGATATGTGCTCCCCCTTTTAATTAATTAATTTATTTTGGCTGCACCGGGTCTTAGTTGCGGTGTGCGGGATCTAGTTCCCCGATCAGGGATCGAACCCAGGCCCCCTGCGTTGTGAGCTCGAGTCTTCCCCACTGGACCATCAGGGAGGTCCCTGTTCTGTGCTCCCTTTAGTCTTGACTCTCATGTATTCATTTTTGGTGTTAAACAAATCACAGTTTTTAAAAGCTTTAATCTTCATTTCCTCATGGAAAACATAGTATTCATGATACCTACTCACAGGATTGTTGTGAGAAGAAAATTAGATTAAAATATGAAAAGGCAGTTTTAAAGCTCAAACATTACAAATTTTAGGTATTGTTGTTTTGATTGCGGTTATTTCATGTCCAGATTGAGAAAGCTTTGTGATTGTTGACATAATGATATCATCCAGGAGTTTGGAATAAGCGTGTACATCAGCGGATTTTATGATTACAAAAAATAGCTGTGTTTGCTTTTCTACTGACTCTCCTTCAGTGGAATGTTCCCATTTTCTCATGAAGTGGGGGGAGATCCACATATGTTTTATTAAAGAAAGCAAGCCTCGTATTTTTTATCCTTTGAACTGAGAGGCTACATATTATTCATTGTCTTCGAGTCAGGCTACCTGGGTAAATTCCCAATCCTCTACCTACTTGCAACCATGGATAAACCTCAGTTTCCTCATATGTAAACTAGGGGTGGTAATAATACAGATTCGTATGAAGATGAAATGGGAAATGTATGTATAGAATACATAGCAGAGTGCCTGGCACAGAGTAAGCATTCAGTAATGTGGGCTGCTGTTGTGATTATCATCATTAAACTGTAGCATGAAGAAGAGGAAAAAAGGTTGTGTGTGAAAGTCAAGGGCAGGAGGGAATAAAAAGACAAGGGGAACAGCTTTGAAAATGGTCTGATCATCCTGCAAATGACAATCCAAGCAATTCCCACAACTTTTGAAAATCAAAGACTTCCCTGTTGCTTCCAATGAGAAAATGAACCATAGTCATTTGTAATGTCCACGTTCCTGTAACAATCAAAATCACAATCTTGCTTGAAAGGTACATGTCTTCCCTTTCCCAGCATGAGCACGCAGAAGGCAAGGAGCTGTAGGAAATGGGAGTCCTCGCCTCTCTCTCTCTCTCTCCCCCTCTCCCTCTCCCTCCTTCCCTTTCCCTCTCCTTCTCCCTCTCTCTCTCTCTCTCTCTCTCTCTCTCTGAAGTGCTCCTACTTCTTCTCTATCTTGGTAACTGAAGTTTCTTGCTGCTCTAGGGTTAGAGCTCATAGCAGAGAAAAGGTTGGGGAGATAAGAAAGTTCTTACTTGACAAGGACTGTTGATGATCCAGTACTTAAAACTGGCCCTCTCCATTTGGTCTGTGTTTAAAACTGGCCCTTCTTCTAGCAGGTGCTTCTTTGTTTCCCAGAGCTCCCTTGACCTGCAGAAATGCATTTGTATTTGGTCATCCACAGTCTCAAGGAGTCATTCTGAAGTACACCCCTTGCTGCTTTTTGCTATGGTACCTACTTTCCAGCGGATGATCCTGAACAGGATCTAAGACAGCTAGCGCTATCTTGCATGGCTCAGATCTGGTCCAAGGGAAATACTTTACCTTCAAAAGCTCAGAGAGTAATGAGGATACAATTTTCAATCCCTGGGTAGCCCTTTGAAGCTCTTTGCCTTACACTTGCGGTAAGCAAACAACCCCATAGATCTTCTGGTCAGATTCACACAGCATGCTGGCAACTTGCTCCAAAAACCTTCATCATCAAAAATCTCCAACTCTTTTTGCCTCTGACATGGATAAATGGTTATAAGAGTTACATAACCTTCCTGGCATGCTTCCTTTGAAAATGTTGCTTTATACCGTTGTATTTCGCTTTGGAATGTGGTGTCTAGTGTTCAGTACTTGAGTCAAAACTTGCACTTTAATTCAAGGTAAAAGGGGGAGAGGAACGCTTTGGGGATGCTTTGATTTCACAGACCATCACCCCAAAGTTGGTGGTGCTGCAGAGGAAAAGATGGTTTACGCATGCAGGTGTTGTTATTGGGAGCCTCATGAATGCCCACCCTAATCACAAAGTAAAGATGTAAATGTGAGTAGTGGTTTTTCCTCATAGGCAGTTGTTTTGGTTGCGGTTGTTGTTTTTTTTGTTAAAGCAACTGACATAGCACTTGGGACTGATTTATGTTATTACTTTGGGAGATAAAATGTGTTTAAAAATAGTGTTCCCATGAAATTAAAAAATGGTTAACTTTCATCAGTTGTAGGATGATCCTAGACTACCATGTGTGTGAAACTTGTCTCAAGACAAGTATATTATGTATTGTGTTTAAATGTTTTTTTTTGCATTTCAGGTATAACTTTTTAAAATGTGAAAACACACATAAATAAATGTGTACAGATATATACAACTCTGATCTCATGCCAAAAATGTGTGTGACTGCCTTGTGATAGTTTTGGAGGTGGGTATCTGAGTATGATATGAATATGGGCTTGTCATTGGAACGCCATGGAAGCCTCCTGTGCTTGTTTTTGTAGATCCTAGATACTACTGTGAAAATTGTACAGACCTATCAAAACGCTGAGAATTTGAAAACTTGATATATTATACATTTCTCTAATAATTCTTGATGTCAATTTGGTTGTTTTTTAAACTATGCTTGATTGGCATGGCAGATTTAGGGTAGTCAAATCGTGAGATAATAAAATACCTATCTATGCACCCATCCACTGGGACTCCTGAAATATTAGAAGTTAATAATAAAATTGCCCTTAATTAAAAATAAATAATAACAATAATAAAAACCGTGGCATTAATTTGAATTGAAAAATAAAGCAAAGTCTGTATTTTGGTTCCTAATTAGGAAAAAGGAGAGAAAGATTTTGTCTTGAAATTTTTTCTGTTTTATTACTTTTTTTTTTTTTTTTTTGGTGGTCGGGCCTCTCACTGTTGTGGCCTCTCCCGTTGCGGAGCACAGGCTCCGGACGTGCAGGCTCAGCGGCCATGGCTCACGGGCCTAGCCGCTCCGCGGCATGTGGGATCTTCCCAGACCGGGGCACGAACCCGCATCCCCTGCATCGGCAGGCGGACTCCCAACCACTGCGCCACCAGGGAAGCCCCTACATTTTTATTATAAGTATATGGGGGCAATATTAGTGAGGCCAGGGGCCTTACACCTTAGTGATTTTTTTTTCTTTTCTCTCCTCTCATTTTGTCGTCCCTCCCCTCCACGCTTCTCCTTTCCTTTTTTTCCTGATAGCGGGTGATGTGCTCCAAAGAGATGAAAATACCTGGAAAGATTCTGTGGACCAGTCAACTCTGAGCCAACTTGAGGATATGGGGGTAAGAGTCCAAAAGGAAAAGAGAGAGAGAGAGAGAGAGAGAGAGGGAGATGGATTCTTCTAAATTTTGTGCAACACCCATTAACATCCATGTAAATAGGATTTAGCATTTAAACACATAGCATGGTGCACCAAGGTTGGTGAAAAGACGGTGTACCGGTAGGTCTGAAAATGGGGGAAGTGTGTAATAAGCGCTACATTAGAAGAAGCAAGGTTTAAAAGGGTGTTATTGAATTGGAAGCATCAAAATGGACTTATGACTTTAAAAAGCCCCCCTCTAAAGCTGAAAGAGTAGAAACGGTCCCTGGTATCACACTACCTACAGCCACAAGGTATGTGGGAAAATCTAACATGTCCTCTAGGCGCTGGGTTTTGACCTCTTCTGCTCTTCTCACAGAAAGCAACTCAGAGGAAAGCTGGTACCAGGTCTTGGGAAAATATTGAAGGGAGCTAAGAATGGGAAGGCATAGCTAAGAAATGTTTGCCAAAGAAGAGGAATCGTGATGCTTCCTACCAGATATGAGAATGTATTATGAAGCTTGAGTCATTAAAAGTGTGGTTCCCCAGCAGACTTTTCCAAGAAGGGATACCCTGCCCCAATGCAGATCACACTAAATTAGAACATAGTGTGTAGAACCGGAAGTATTAAAAACCAATGTGAAAGGGGAAACTAGATTTTTAGAGGAAAGTTGGGTTAAAAACCTCACCTTGCATACTGTATCAAAATACATTTTAAAGCTGAAACATAAGGGAAAGAAGAACATGGAGATGAATTTAGCTTATTTTTTTCTAAGTAAAGGACTCTCTAAGCCTAAAAAGATACAGGGTAAGTCACAAAGGAAAAATATGTGTATTTGGCTGCAGAAAATTAAGTACTTCTGTGCCATAAGATATTATAAACCAAATTAAATGGAAAATGTGGAACTGGGAAGTGTTTTTGTAATACATGTGGCTGATAGCTTTAGAACTAACAACAAAAATAACATTTGTGATAATTCAATAAGAAACGCATATCAACCCAGTAGAAAAAGGACAAATGTCACAAATAATTGACAAAAGAAAAAATTACAGATGACTAATGAACATATACTTAACCATAAACGTATAAAAATTTAGGTTTTTATGTTAATCAAAAAAAGGGAAAATAAAAAGGCCCTACTCATTTGTGACCTACGAGATTGACAAAGGTTACAAATGGCAACACTTCGTAAGGATACAGCAGGAGAGCATTCCAGCCACTGCTGATGGGAATATGGGCTCTGCAGTCTTTTTTGGAGATGACTCTTGACCATCTGCATAAAGGACTTAGGTCATAATTATAAACTTTTTACCCAGTAACCCCATATTAGACTCGATCTGGTAAACATAATAAGAGAATATTTGAATATTAATATGCAAGAATATACATTACACTCACTATTGATGTGAAAAACTAAAACCTCTTAAGTGTTCAATACTGAGAGAACAGAAAAATAAATTATTGTTTATGTACTTATGTATTGTTAAGGCAGGAAAGATATTCAGTAAAGTGTTAAAATTGGTTGTGTTTTAGGGGTAAGGATGGAATCAAGTTTTATAGAAGGATGTATCTTTTCTCCTTTTTATACTTTTGTAATTTGTTTTACCTCTCAAAATTAGTGTGTATTATTTCTAAAATTTCTAAAATTCATAAAAAATGTATATCTTTTTATATATATAATGAAGTGCAGAATTGGTAATGATAAAACGTTAGGTGAAAAAAATCAGGGTATAAAATACATATGCGAGGGGCTTCCCTGGTGGTGCAGTGGTTAAGAATCTGCCTGCCAATGCAGGGCACACGGGTTCGAGCCCTGGTCTGGGAAGATGCCACATGCCGTGGAGCAACTAAGCCCGTGCACCACAACTACTGAGCCCGCGTGCTACAATTACTGAAGCCTGTGCGCCTAGAGCCCATGCTCTGCAACACGAGAAGCCACCACAATGAGAAGCCCTCGCACCGCAACAAAGAGTAGCCCCTGCTCACCTCAACTAGAGAAAGCCCGTGTGCAGCAGTGAAGACCTAATGCAGCCAAAATAAATAAATAAATTTTAAAAAATACATATGCAATAAAATTATGATTTTGGTAAAATATAATTTGTGCAAAGACTAGCAGGATAAACATCAAAACATCAGCCATAGTCCTTTCCTTCTTTTTATGTATATTTGCCTATTTTCCCAATTATGCTTTAAATATTTTATTTTATTTATTTATTTATTTTTGGCTGCGTTGGGTCTTCATTGCTGCACGCGGCCTCTCTCTAGTTGGGGCGAGCAGGGGCTACTCTTCGTTGTGGTGCCCGTGCTTCTCATTGCAGTGGCTTCTCTTGTTGTGGAGCACGCACTCTAGGCGTGTGGGCTTCAGTAGTTGTGGCACATGGGCTCAGTAGTTGGGCTCGCGGGCTCTAGAGCACAGGCTTAGTAGTTGTGGCGCATGGGCTTAGTTGCTCTGCGCCCTGTGGGATCTTCCCAGACCTGGGCTCAAACCCGTGTCCCCTGCATTGGCAGGCGGATTCTTAACCTCTGTGCCACCAGGGGAGTCCCTCTCTGGGTATTTCTAATGTATGTTTATCAGGTCTCTTTCACTTTTGGTGATAAACAAAAATTTATTTTCCAAATAATAATGTCTCATCTCTAGGGAACTAGTATTTTGATGAAACTGCAATTTGAAGCTTTTGGATTTTAAAACTGTAAACTCTACAAGGATATATAAAGACTGCTCTTTGTTGCATTCTTTTCCCACCCTATTCTAGGATTTAAACCTAAAATGAACGGGGTAAAAAAAATATATGACATGTAGATTCCAGACATTCTTTCCTAACTAGAATGATTTTTAACTGCTAATGTGAATTTTTCCTCAAAATATGCCAATTCTCTTATTTATTACTTGATGCCTTCCAGACTTTTTTTTTTAAATACTCTTACTATCTTCTAATTTCTCTTCCTTTAAAAATTTGCTTCTGTGATTTGTAAATTAATCTGTTAACCCAGAGAATATTGTTTTATGTGACACTGAGCAAGTCATGTGAAGTTTTCTCCTTTTTATTCTTTGTAATAAAGCAGAATATTAAAAAAGAAAATCTGGGGCTTCCCTGGTGGCCAAAATAAATAAATAAAATTTAAAAAATACATATGCAATAAAATGCGGAGCGGCTGGGCCCGTGAGCCTGTGCTCCGCAATGGGAGAGGCCACAGCAGTGGGAGGCCCGCAAACCGCAAAAAAAAAAAAAAAGAAAATCTGATAGGTCTAAAATAGATTAGTAAGCATTTTAAACATTCATAAAGTTCTTTGAAACTTATAAGCCTATATTATCATGTATTATTGATGTTATCCTATTATTAAAACATACTTTTGCCATCTACTGAAATATAGTCTATTTCAGTCATTCCTATTCTCTGAATGACTAAACATAGAACAAATCCCTTTGGGACTTGTACTGTATTTTAACTTAGCAGTAATTACCTTAAATGGAAATGAAACACTAATAGTCTTGATCTGCAGGAATCAGTTTAACTCTAGAATGCAAGGGTTAATGGCCTCTGGTGCATCCCAAGTGTGAATAGAAAGTTTGGGGGATAAGTTGGGCTTGTGTTGTAAAATATTTATGGAAGTGACTTTGAAAGCTAGTAAAGTCAATTTTAACAATTTTAAATAAATACGAAGTTGATTTTTTTCCTTATACAGTGAATAAATGTAGTAAGTGCAGTATTATGGGACTGTTACATTTCATTTATTTTTATCACTATTGGATCATATGAGAATGATTCTAAGTTCTGTCATGCATCTAAACCACTACCTAACTAGCAAGGGTAAAATGAAAAATCCTTGTATATGATTCTTCTCTGGCTTTTAGTTTGTCAGTACTGATAATTGTAGCAACTTTTGAAAAAAAGACTATGAAGAATAATAAGGGCTTTTATGGAGTGTGTGTGTGCATGCAGGTGTGCCTGTGTATGTCTTTCCCCTTTTCCTCTTCCTGATACTTCTGGTTTGTGTGATTTGGCTGTGCCTCAGACAGTTCTAGATATTCAGGTAAATTGCTAGGAAAAAGGAGCAAAGTAATAACAGCTCTCAAAGGCATTACATTTTAATCTCCTCTATTCATTGAAGGCTGTAATAGAAAACAATGAAGACATCTTGTTGGATAATAGGCAAACTAGTCTCCCGGTAATATAACTTTTTTGAAAACACACTAGGAAAATAATTCTCTCTATGTAATTGTTAGAAAAGAATGGCTTATACCTTACATTATAATTTGTAGTTCAGCTGTTAACTGAACAAAGCTCAAACAGAACAAAGTGGAAGGAAATCAGTGTCTATTGTTCTAGGCATATTACTGAGTTTCTCTCTCTCTCTCTTTATGTATATACATATATATATACACTCACATATACAGATATGTATATATGTACAAATTAATAATCGATTGGATACAGACGACTGCCTTGCTAGCAAATATTACCCTTCTTTCATAGATAAAGTGAGTATTAGAGTCAGGATTCATATTAACCAATTTATTTATTTTTCTAAAATAAGCTTTGGGACCTCCCTGGTGACTCAGTGGTTAAGAATCCACCTGTCAATGCAGGGGACACGGGTTCGAGCCCTGTCCGGGAAGATCCCACATGCCACGGAGCAACTAAGCCCGTGTGCCACAACTACTGAGCCCGAGTGCCACAACTACTGAAGCCCTCACGCCTAGAGCCCATGCTCCACAACAAGAGAAGCCACCGCGATGAGAAGCCCTCACACCACAACGAAGAGTAGCCACCACTTGCCTCAACTAGAGAAAGCTGTGCAGCAATGAAGACCCAACACAGCCAAAAATAAAAATTAATAAAAAGAGTAAGATTTATTTATGTATAATTGTGCAATAAAATTAATCAATTCTAATGTATAATTTTGACAAGTGTATACGGCTAAGTAAGCATTATCACAATCAAAACATAAAGCTTGGGGACCTCTCTGGTGGTTCAGTGGTTACAACTTCACCTTCCATTGTAGTGGGTGTGGTTTGATCTCTCATTGGGGAGCTAAGATCCCACATGCCTCACGGCCAAAAAACCAAAACATATAACAGAAGCAATATTGTAACAAATTCAATAAAGACTTTTAAAAATGGTCCACATCGAAAAAAAAAATAAAGCTCTTTGTATCACCCCAAAAAATCCTCCTATGACCCTTTGCATTCAGTCTCTCCTTTGCGCTGGCCTCAGGAAACTCCTGATCTTTCCATGACATTAATTTTGTCTTTGTCATATAGCATGTAGTTCTGTGTGTCTGGCTTCTTTCTCTTGCATTATTCATTTAAGAATCATCTATGCTTCAAGTATATCAGTATTTCTTTTTATGGCTGAGTAGTATTCCTTTGTATAGTTATACCATTTGTTTATTCATTTGTTACTTGAGGCACATTCGGTTTGTTTCCAATTTTAACCAATTTATTTTAAGGACCGTGTTCCTTACCCTGTATCAAGCTGCCTTTGCAGGAGTGACTGGGCAGGGAATCTATTATAAATGTTAGTAATTAGTCTTTGAGATTGATCCTCTTTGGTGAAGCAAAATTAACCTTTTTGCCTGACCTTTATAACATGCGTTGCTGTATGGGTTCGGGTTCGCTTCACAATTCTCCAAAGTTGCCTTTATTCCTCAGGCCAACCTGTTCTCAGGAAGCACCATATTCTGGTGACTAGGGCTGCTTTTGTTTGGACCCCTGGGCTTTTCATCTGGGGTTAGGGGCCTAGCAGGCATGGGACAGCAGAGCCAATGAAGTATCTTTTGTACGAAGTTATGGACTTTCCAGTGAGTTGGAATTCCCTGTTCTCCACCTACCTGTGGGCCTGGGCAAGTTACCTAATCTCTCTGGATCTCTGTGTCTTCATCTCTCAAACTGAGGTTGGATGAAATCAGTCGTTTACAATCCATGTCCCACCAGGTCACTTAGACGCAGCTACGGAGACCAATGGTAGTAGGAGAGGTGCTTCTGGGCTGCTTACCATCCATGCTTCGACAAGAGGACAGCTGTGTGTGTGTGTGTGTGTGCGCGCGTATGTGTATGTGTGTGTGTATGTGTATGTGTGTGTGTGTGCACACCCTCACTCTACATCTCCCTCTCTGCCCTGATTCTATACTTTTATTTTTCTTTTTTAAATTTTTTGCCCGTGCCACGTGGCATGTGGGATCTTACTTCCCTGACCAGAGATCGAACCCTGAACTCCCTGCAGTGGAACCGCAGAGTCTTAACCACTTGACTGCCAGGGAAGTCCCTGCCCTGATTCTAAATGAGATTTTGTTTGAACAAAATATTCTACATCTAAAACTAGTTGGAAAAACACTGGACCAAATAGTCCTTAAGGTTCCTTCCTGCTCTAACTTTCCGTGAGCATATGAAAGCAGTTTTAAAGATAGAGAATCTCACTGTTTTTAATTTAATTAAAATGTAATCTTTAAAATTTGCTGCAAAACATTGTTTGATTTGAAATTTCAGAAAGAGCCTCAAAGAGAAAAATCCAGGTCAAAATCTATGACTGAGTCCTTGGAAATGGCAAAGCTATAAGGCACACTGCGTGGTTTCTATGCTTTTCAGCAAAAAAAATCTATCATGGGGCTTCCCTGGTGGCGCAGTGGTTGAGAATCTGCCTGCTAATGCAGGGGGCACGGGTTCAAGCCCTGGTCTGGGAGGATCCCACATGCTGCAGAGCAACTAGGCCCGTGAGCCACAAGTACTGAGCCCACGTGCCACAACTACTGAAGCCTGCACTTCTAGAGTCTGGGCTCTGCAACAAGAGAAGCCACAGCAATGAGAAGCCCGCGCACCTCAACAAAGAGTAGCTCCCGCTCGCCACTACTAGAGAAAGCCCGTGCACAGCAACGAGGACCCAACGCAACCAAAAATAAATAAGTTAAAAAAAAAAAAATGAATGGCCATCATGGAAACTCAAAGATGGTTGCAATAAGTATTTTAAGCATTTGGCAGGCTATGTTTAATTTTGTTAAATATTAATAATCAGTGACAGGCAGGAGAGGAAGAATAAAACATCATTAGATTTCACCTTATACAATGAGCCCTTAAGTAATTCAGAGTAGGCTATTATTATCATTTTTTTTTGCGATACGCGGGCCTCTCCCTGCTGTGGCCTCTCCCGTTGCGGAGCAACAGGCTCCGGACGCGCAGGCTCAGTGGCCATGGCCCACGGGCACAGCCGCTCCGCGGCACGTGGGATCCTCCCGGACCGGGGCACGAACCCGTGTCCCCCGCACCGGCAGGCGGACCCCCAACCACCACGCCACCAGGGAAGCCCAAGGCTATTCTTTTAATATACCCCTTGGTATTATATTTTACCCCTTAATTATTTCTGATATACTTCATATGTGCAAAGTGTTGACTAGCATTTTGGTTTTTTAACAAAGTGTATTTTATGTTTTGAAGGAATATTCAGTGAACATCCTAAAGTTCAACTGTTGATGTTTGTATTTTCAAAAAGTGTGTTGAGCTCCTCTGATTAGAATATCAGCTCTATTGGACATATCATTGAGGATAACTTTATGGGAAACTATAGGATTAGAAAGCCCTTTTCCTCCTGCACGAACATTTAAGAAGGAATAATCAATATACACCTCTTTTTTTCTTTATCTGCCCTTCCCACATTCCTCCTTGGCTACTCCCGATTGGGGCACCCCCAGCTCAACAGCTTGTGCCGGGGTTTGGAAGAGAACGCGTACATAATCTGATCCAAGGGGGCTTAGTGTCTTACAGATGCTTCCATGGAGAGAGCTGTAAATTATGATTATGGAGCAAGTTTCTGCTCTTGAAATGATTATCACGCATGGTCAGCGTTAGAGAGGAAATACCAGGTAAAGAGAAGAAGTGGCATATATGAGGTGACAACTGGGCTAGAGCGAACTGAAAGGATTTAGTGATAGGAACAGGTGGGATTTGTATTTCCGAAGACTGGGAGGCAAGTGGATTGGGGAATTGAAACAAGTCGTGGGTTTCCAGCCTGGGAGTCTAGAAGGAAACTTCTGCTCGAAGTGTGGGTCTTGAAGAAGGTTAGGATTTCTAGGCAGGGTAAAGAACAGAAAGGGAACCTCAGAAATGAAGGATGTTTGGGGGATTCCGAGTACTCTAGTTTGTAGCAGCATTAAAGAAGGGGAGAAAGCAAAGTTAAGGCAGAAAAATGAGTCTGGGGTTACATTGTGAAGACTCTTAAGTATCAGAGTGAACCGTTTGTAATCATCCTGTGTGGGGATGGGGCTCTACTTCTCTTCCTCTCAGGAAGATGGTATTTTTCATGAACTCTTCCCTATATTTGTCTTGTCTCCTACGAGGTAAGATCCTCGGTCATATTTATTTTGATTTGTAGCACTAATGCTAAACAGATGCTAGATTTATTTAATGTATTGGTTCTTGACTATATATAAATCACTGTGACTGCATAGCTCCTTTTATATTGTATGTCCTGATATATATTTGTGGTACTAATATTATGCAATAAATATTAAAAAATTTTGTTTCATGCATTATATACATGATGTTAGCGTGTGTATGATTTCTATAGGCTTAATTGGTTTAAAAGCATATTTACTTAAAGCAGATTTTTAAAATGTCTTCTTTCAAGATCATGTCAATTTGAGCTGGTAATTAACATGTAGCCCAATCAGGACTCATGTTTTCAAATACTAATTCAGCCTCAGAATCTTAGAGCCACAGGGTCCTCAGCAATCATTTCCCCTTCTTTCTCGTGCTTTCTTTTACAGATGAGGAAACCAGGCTCATGGCCAAGGCACACAACTAGTTACTGGCAACGCCAGGGTTAAGACTCCCTTCTCTGGTATCTTTCTACACACCACCCCTCTTATCTGAAATAAGTGACCAATAAAAAAACATTCAGGGACTTCCCCGGTGGCACAGTGGTTAAGAATCCGCCTGTCTATGCAGGAGACACGGGTTTGAGCCCTGGTCTGGGAAGATCCCACATGCCCGGAGCAACTAAGTCTGTGCCCCACAACTGCTGAAGCCCATGCACCGCAACAAAGAGTAGCCCCCGCTCACCACAACTAGAAAAAGCCGTGCGCAGCAACAAAGACCCAATGCAGCCAAAAGAAACCCCCGAAAACAAAAAAACATTCAAAGGCCAATACACATTTACTGTTAAAAAATTTCACAGGACACATCAAAATGGATCAGTCAGTTCCATAATGGAGACACAGTAGGCATACTTTTATTTGTTAACAGCATTACATTAGCACATGTGAATGTTTCTATCAGTTATTATTACAAGTGGTACTCCACAATTTCTCCTAACAAAAGTGAACGTGTGTGGGACTTCCACGGTGGTCCAGTGGTTAAGACTCTGCGCTTCCAATGCAGGGGGACTGGGTTTGAACCCTGGTTGGGGAGCTAAGGTCCCACATGCCAAGAGGCCAAAAAAAAAAGTGAACGTGTGGTGGTAACCGGAACAATAGAAAAACAGTTCACAATGAGACCATTTCTTCTCCTGGGTATGACCACGTTTTCTTAGTTTGTAATCCAGCTTCTAACAATTTGGTCAGTGGATCATCTTGGAGAAGCAAGGCCCTAGCGCTTGGAGGGCCATAATTGTAACCGAGCAGGACACTATGGGGCCTTCCTGGGACAGACCCCCTCGCCCATAGCTTCTGCTTTAGTTCCTCTCTGAAGTACCCAGATAATTTGTATCTGATGCATATTTCCTGAGTCTTTCAGATGCTAAACCCACTACCAAATGGAAGAAATTAACTACTTGATGATCAAGAGCATTAGCTCCAGACCTTCTGGCACCTAAGGATTGATCACCATCAACCAATCAGAGAACTGTGCACGAGCTGATCACATACCCTGGGACACCCCTCCCTCACCTGGCCCTTACAAAGGCTTTGCTACAATCCTTTGGAGAGTTCTGGGTTTTTGAGCACGAGCTACCTATTCTTGATTCACCCTGCAGTAAACCTTTCTCTGCTCCCAACTCAGACGTTTCAGTATCATTTGGCCTCACTGTGCGTCAGACACATGTACTTGTAACTTAAATAGTTTTATGAACAGCATATCCAATCTTGGGGGTATTTTCCAAGCTAAAACAGAATGAACCTCGCTAACAATTAAGCAGGCGTCCTCTGTGTTAGTTCACACCGGATCTCTGGGGCACGTGTGCTGATTTCTGCACTTGTAACTCTGGCACCTTCTCTGGGCGAGAGGCTGATTTATCTCCATCACTCAAGCTAAGGCCCAACACCAGGCACGCGGTACGTGCTCAAGGCTAATGGAAGAAAGGTTTGGACGCTTTAGGCTTCCAAGGGACAGAAAAGCAGCATGCCTGAAAAATAAGTTTTTCTGGATTCTAACCCGTATTAATTCACTTTGAGGCAAAGGCAGATTTCGCCCCTCTACTGAGCCCCAGATTTTCTTTTTCCCTCCCAAGGCTCCTGAATACACCTTAAAAGGAAGATGGAGCGTAAATCAGGCCAAGGAGTGGCTGCCATTCACTTGGGAGGCCTTGGTGCTTTCTGCCCTTTGTCCACCTGCTAATCTCTGCCAGCCCCGGGCCCCGCGCTGTCCTGTGAAGCCGTGAGCCTGAGCTTTTAAGAGGAGGGGGCGGGGTTGGTACTGAAAAGCGGCGGAACCAAAGGCGAGGGAGCGGCGCTGCCGGGGGGAAGGAGGAGCCACGGGACCGGCAGGCCTGGTTCCGAGGCGGCGGCGGCGGCGGCGGCGGCGGCGTGGGGATGGAGCCCCTGCGGGTCCTGGAGCTGTACAGCGGCATTGGGGGTATGCACCAGGCGCTGAGAGGTAAGAGGGCACAGGGCGCCTCCTCCCTCGCGCGTTGTTGGTGGTCAGAGCTCGGGCTCCTGGGAGGGGCGGAGCGGCGAGACACTAGGGGCGGAGACTGCAGGGGAAACTCTGTGTGTGTGTGTGTGTGTGTGTGTGTGTGTGTGTGCGCGCGCGCGCGGGGGAGTTGCTCGGTTGTCATAGAAATCGTCGGCTCGGCGCCCCAGCCGCCCCTGCGGGCGGAGACTCCCTCCCTCCCCCCGCGAGCCTGGTCCGAAGGGCGGGCGGGGCCCCTGCCTGGACCCAGTTTGTGAGTCCAGATCCGCAAGGCCTGGATGTAAAGTCAAACCAAAGCGGTACCGCCAAAGGGGGAGGGGTGAGCCCCCTGCCCTGTGCCAATCCCCAATTCGGTATGGCTGTCACCAGCGGCGTGGAAACTAGGTCCTTCACCCTCGAGGAGGTCACAGCGGGGGAGGGGAGGTCACTGGGCTGGGTTCTGCAGGTGAGGGACGAATCTTCAAAGGGATAACTACAGTGCCACATAGAAGTTAGTGAACACTCAGCAGAACTGTAGGGGAAGCCGGGAGGAAAATCCCGGTCAGTTCTGATCATTGAAAAGAAACATCTTGTCTTGTTACTTCATGTCTGGGTACATTTAGGCGCCAGAAGCCCTGAGTTCAAACTTAGTTGCAGTGTGACCTTAACATTTTTGAGCCTGTTTCCTAGTTTCACAACGTGAAAAGTAATTCAGAGATGGAGAATTATGAGGATTAAAGAAAAAGTGGGTAAAACCTTTAATAATGCCTGGTACCTTGTAGCCACTCACAATATTATAAAGTATTGTCAGGATTTTATGTATCTTTTCCATGTTGAGGTTTTTAAATTTCTTTGGTCCTAAGTTGGAACTGCAAGGTTTATTTTCAGTGACATTCACTCAAAAATATTTATTGAGCTCCTCCTATGTTCCAGGTACTGTGCTAGGCACTGGAGGTATAGCGTGACAAATAGATTTGGAACGCACATGTTTATTCTTAAATTACTATGACAACCGCAAAACTGAAACTTCCCTGCTTCCTTTTTTTTAGTACCAAAGATAACAAGAGACCAATACCGTAAGACACAGACAGTATGTAATGAGTTGAGCACATACATTTTCTGAGCATATATATTGAGTTTTGATTCTAGAAGAGGTTAGTGATTATTAAATTTTTCTTGCCTACCAATTATTTGATGGCTCTCTATGTTCAGTTCGCATACCAAAATTTACCAGCAGGAAAACAAAACAAAACTTTAATATTATTTGCTCTCTTAGTTAATTTTCTAGGATTGTATAATGTCAGCATTTTCTCCATATCTTGAAACCCCTTAATGAACATGATTTTAATGGTTATGTAGTGCTTTATCACAAGCTATAATTCAGCTACTCCTTAAGTGTTGAATGTTCGATATTTCCCCCCATTTTTTTGCAAGTATAAATGTGCTGCAATTAATTATTCAGCATAAACCTTGATTTTTCTCTTTAGTGTGTTTTGTAGAAGTCAAATTAATTAATAAAAGACTGTGTGCTAGGTACTAAGTTAAAAATTATGAGAATTTTTAAAGACGTTTGATAACGTAGCAAATTGCTTCTCAGAGGTTTCTGAGTGCCTCCTCAAACTACATATTCCTCAGGGTTTGTATTATCCATTTTTAACCTTTGTGAATTTGATAGGGGAAATTGTATAATTTTAATCTGCATCTTTTGGGGGGTTAATTAGTTAGATATTTTCCCTTGTACTAGCCAATGCAACCTGAATTTGTACACATATTTCTATTACTACTGCTACCATCTCGAATCTAAGCTATATCATCTTTCACTTAAATTATTAAAACTAGTTTCCCAACTGCTCCCCTGCTTCCTTCCCAACTGCTTCCACTCTGCTTTCCTACTCCGTCCTTTCTCCACATATCAACAAAGTGATCTCTTACCCAGTAAACTGGATCGCGTCACTCTGCTTCAGTGGTTTCCCTCTGAGGTTAGAATCACAGCCCCCTCTTCTTAGAAGGCCTGTGAGATCTGGCTTCTGTCCACCTCTTCAACCTTATCTCTCCCCTGCTTCTCTTTTCCAGGCTTGCAGGTCTCCTTTCTCTGTGTTTCTCAAACTCTCAAAGTTCCTGTTATGTTCTGGCCTTTGCTTTTGCTGTTGTCTCCACCCAGAGTGCTTTAACTGTAGACTTTTCCACTGCAGCTGCATTTCATCTTCCATGGCTTAGTTCAGGGGAGCCTGCCTTGACTGACCTGTGATCCAGATTAGCATTCCTGCTGCCTCTCTACCTGGACTCTCTCTCATCTTTTGGTTTGAGGTCGACGTACGTATTAGGGATATTGCGTCTTAATCACCCTGCACGCTTCTCTTCCAATGTTCATTTATTATTATTATTATTATTATTATTTTTGGGTTACGCGGGCCTCTCACTGTTGTGGCCCCTCCCGCCGCGGAGCACAGGCTCCGGATGCGCAGGCTCAGGGGCCATGGCTCACGGGCCCAGCCCCTGCGCGGCATGTGAGATCTTCCCGGACCGGGGCACGAACCCCGTGTCCCCTGCTTCGGCAGGCAGACTCTCAACCACTGCGCCACCAGGGAAGCCCCAATGTTCATTTATTTGATGTGCCAAAGTTTAAAATTTTTCTGTAATAAAATGCATTGCTGTTTTCCATGGGGTTTTTTATATAATAATACAAACTAATAACAATGCCGATTAACTGCAACAATTATGTCAGGCCCTGTTTTAAGTATGTAATAAGCTAGTTAATGGTAGAGCCAGTATTATAACCTAGGTCTCTCTTTTTTTTTAATTAAAAAAAGTTTTTAAATTTTTTGCCCACGTGGCATGTGGGATCTTAGTTGAAGCCAGAGTCTTAACCACTGGACCACCAGGGAAGTCCCTGTAACCTAGGTCTCTTAACCCGACCTCTTAACCATGCTATCTATGTTGCCATTTTTCTAGTTAGATCCACTAATTGAATCTATATCTTAAATAATAAGAAACAGCCAACAGGAATAATACTGAATTTAAACTTTGGCAAATTTCCAGATAAGGTTTATGACTGAATTTTTTCTGCAGTAAAATGTACATAACAAAATGTGCCATTTTAACCATTTTTAAGTGTATTTGGTAGCTTAAGTACTACATTCACAGTGTTGTACAATCATCACTGTTGTCTGTTTCCAGAACTTTTTCATCATCCCCAAAACAGGAACTCTATTCTCTAAATAACAACTCCCCATCTCCTCTCCCCCAGCCCCCGGTAACCACTATTCTGCTTTGTCTCTACCAATTTGTCTTTACTGGGTACCTTATATAACTGCAATATACAATATTTGTCCTTTTGTGTCTGGCTTATTTCACTTAGTGTGATGTTTTCAAGGTTCATCCATGTTGTAGTATGTATCAGTACTTCATTCCTTTTTATGGTTGAATAATTTTCCATTATATGCATATACCATATTTTGCTTATCCATTCATCTGTTGATGGACCCGTGGGTGGTTTCCACCCGTTGGCTATTGTGAATAATACTGCTGTGAACATTGGTTTATATGTGTGTGTCTGAGTCCCTGTTTTTAGTTCTTTTGAATATATACCGAGGAGTAGAATTGCTGGATCATATGGTAGCTCTGTGTTTAACTTTTTGAAGAACCACTAAATTGTCTTCTTTAGTGGCCGCACAATTTTATATTCCCAAGGGCAATGCATGAAGGTTCCAATTTCTTTATTTCCACATTCTTGACTTGTTATTCCCTTTTTCTATTTTTTTTGATAATAGTCATCCTAATGGGTGTGAAAAAATATCCCATTGTGCTTTGATTTCCATTTTCCCTAATAACTAAGGAGGTTGAACATGTTTTCATGTGCTTATTCGCCATTTGTGTATCTTCTTTGGAGAAATGTCTAAGTCCTCTGCTCATTTTGGAATTGGGTTTTTTTGTTGTTCTGTTGTGTGAGTTCTGTATGTATTCTGGATGTTGATCTTTTATGAGGTATGTGATTTATAAATATTTCCTCTCACATAACTGAATTCTAGTAGTTATCAAAGGTATATTTAATTTCTTTGGCAGCGTGACAGATTTGCTTCAAACCCAATGGACCTTTTAATACATCAGTAAACATTTTTCATCCTTAGCTGTATATGCAATATGCTATTGTATTGTTGCAGTAACTACATAGATGCTTCTGTATCTTCTAAGTTTCTTTTAACTTTATTTTATATCTGCATGTCCATGTGTTAACTTAGTTCTCGTTCTGTGGTATTTTTCTTTGTTCCTGTACCACCTGTAGCACAGAAGCACACTTGTGACAGGTTTCTCTGTAGCAGACTATTGAGTTTATTATTGAATTGGTATTCACTCTACCGTCACATTGGTAAAACCATAGTTTGCTTAGTCCAAATTTTTGTATGATACAAAATTCGTAGTTGCAAAGCACAGAATCCACTCTCTAGCTAACATCAGCAGAAAAAAAATTTTTAAAGGGCATTTGGAAGCCCACAGAATTTACAGGACACCCAACAAACAGGTCAAGACAATGGGGGCACCACTCGAACCACATTCCGGGCACCGGCCCCACGAGTCCTCATACTGACATCACAGCTTCCACCAGTAATGCTGGGGACTGGAGGTGAGAAGTGCTGTCACACTTTTGCCTTGAAAAGGGCATCTTTACCACCTCTCTTACCAAAAAAGATGAGTTTTCTCATTTGCTTTCTTACATTGCTGTTTCTGAATTGAAGTTATGTGAGAATGCAGTTGGTTGGTGGCCATTAGATCCCATTGCCAGACTAAGAAAGCTGGGAGAGTGAGTTCTGACTTCAGTTTTGGGAAGAAGGGACTCGTAAAGTGGCAAAATTTTGAACAACAGGAAACGTAGGCAAAGATTCTAGATGGCCACAAGCATAGTAAATGTCATTGCATTCTTTAATACATATTTGCCCCTGTACAGGAACCACTTATTACCACTTTGATATTATTTATGCCTGCATAGC